TAATGACACCAAACAAAGAAGCTAAAAAAGCTAACCAAAGGTAACACATGCTCACTGCTCTCTCCTAACAAAATGGCCAAACCAAAGCATCCCCTCAACAAAAGTTTGGAAACCAAAATTAACTACTCAAAACTACTGAACGTAATTAACTACAAAACAAGTAGAACAGCCAAACTACAAATAAACTTATCAATGATAAGATAAAAAGGAAAACTATACCAATGTTAACCAATCTAACAGAATGTTAAGTTAACCAAACAACAACTTGTTAAAGTACACAAAAACTAAGGTACAACTAACATTAACTTAACTTTGACAAGCCCCCACTTGTCACAGGCCGGCTCAATGCCCATGACAAAAATGAGGGGACACCAAACGATTTAGGCCAATCAATACTTTATTGTAACCAATAAATAACTTTAAATAAAACAAAGATGAGATGTGAGTATGTAAGAATGTTTAGTGTGTGCAGTGTATGAGTGGGTGAACATGAATGTGTCTGAGCGTTACCAAAACCAAAAGGAACCAACCAACAAAGGAAATACCTGGAGGAGCAGAGAGAGAGAGTGTTAGTGGAGCCCAACTTATATAAGGAGCCCAAGTGGCTCCAATTAGTAATTAGACCTGCCTCTGCCTACAGGAGGAACTGCCCCTGCAGGTCAGAGGAAAGGGCCGTGACAGATGTGTGTCAAGGGAAGGGTCATGCCCAGCAGTGATATAGAATCCATTTCTAAATATGAAATCACTGGTTTTCCATGTTATTTGGTGAATAGATGCTGTATTAGAGCGTAAAAGGGAGACTTTTATTGTGAAATTCACTCCAGGGTATGTTTTGAAAAGGTCCATAGAGTCTAATAGAAACAAACTGGTAGAGTTTGGGTCATAATGCTGAGCCATTTGCATCAATTAATACGCGAGTATAATATAGAGGCTTTTATTGTGTAGGGTCACTGGAGTCTTATTTTGAAAGTCTAGCAGTAGTGTGTTGAGAAAAGGGTCAGACCCAGCAGTGATACTTGATGACTTTCCAATCGTTAAATCACACTTTTCCCTTGTTATTAGGGCAGTAGAAAAAGTGGCAATGGGAGGCTTTTATTTTGAAATTTGCTGTGGGTGTGTGTTTTGAAAAACCCCTAGAGTCTCATTTTTAAAAAAGTGGTTGAGTTTGGGTCATAATGTTTAGCCATATGCTGGGAAAAAAATATGAGTTTAATGTAGGGGCTTTTATTTTGAAGGGTCCCCGGAGTCTTATTTTGAAAGTCTATCAGGGTTGCGTGTGAAGGGAAGGGTCATGGCCAGTAGTCATATTGTATCCACTTCCTAATGTTAAATCAGTGTTGTCTCCCTCCATTAGATTAAAATGTGCTGTTTAAAGTGGTGGAGGTAAAATCCCTTTGAAGCACGGTTACCTTGACGACGTTAACGAGCCTGTCAGTGACAGAGAGACATGCGCTTCACTTTCGTTCCTTTCCTCTCAGGCTTTTTTGAATGGGAATTTCAGCTCCAAACAAACAAGTGCTGAAGACAAACCGTAAATGGTATCTAAAAAATTATTTCAGTCTAAGCGACAGCTATCCTTTGTCTCCGATTGGGGTAACTTTCATGGCTGTAGCTCATTCACAACCTTAATGGGAAGGAGAAATATAAAGGTTTGTAAATCCTGCTGGTCTCATTAAATAACATGGAGTTCCATGGTAGAACAGAACTCTCAAAAGCAAAACTTCCCCTGCGAACAAACGAGGCAGAGAAAGGATAACAAACTGTGAGCCAAAACCGTAAAAGGTATTCAAAAAATTATTTCACCGTTGGTGTCAGCCATCCTTCGGCTTCCACTGTGCCAACTTTCATGTTTCTACTAAAAACTACCATACAAATGAGGGTTATATTTCCTGAATCCTGACAAAAATCCCTACGTTTTGATGTATAATTTATTTCAACTGAGTGAAAAATGAGTGAGTGAGAACAATTTGTTCGGAAAAACCAGAACAGCTCAAAAGCTAGAGCACGCACTCTAGCAGTTGAAGAATTCCGTCCATAGACTTCCATTATAAATCTGAAAATCTTTAAATTTTCTTTTAAAATTTGAAGCTTCACTGAAGCAAAACTGTAAAAGTTAGCAAAAAGCTGAGTTAAACAGTAATAGCAGAAAGATACGGAAACATTTTAAAAGTTGAATGGTGTTTCTAGCTGAAAGTATGCTGAAGTAGTTAAAGGTCGAAGATGATAAAGTTTTAGCTGAATTTTGCTGAAATCTAAGAATTCTACATGCATTTCAATGGGACAAAAAAAACGCAGAAAAAGCAGAATATCGCGAAAACTACAAAAAATATCTTTACCAAAAGACATAGCAGAATTCTCACATCAGCTGTGAGATGGGCAGGCATGGAGTCAGATTAACAGCGATGGTGATGAGTGGAAAAAAAACACCTGGTCTCCTTACATTCAGCCACTCTTTCATCATCTCCTCAATGAGGTGGTCTCAAAAGTCGCAGTTGCAACACACATAGGGCGCACCGCACCAAAGGGCGCACCGCACATTTTGAGGGAAAAAACAAGACGTTTATGTGCGCCTTATAGTCGTGAAAATACGGTAACAGCTTTTATATACACCTGAACTGCCGTCAAAAAACAGAAAACAGTAATAGAAAAGAAATATTGGTGAAAGGGAATCAGAAATGTTGATAGATTACAGACTGCTCATTTCAACAGCAGTTTTCAGAACTCCTGTCTGACTCAGAATATTTTGTTTTATAAAAGAAATCCTAACTTTGGTTACTTTCATTTCTCAAGTTCCAAAAATCCAAACTCTCTCCTGCTTCTTCATAGAACTGCAGTCAGAAGCCTTCGCCTGTTTTAGCCTAGAATAAGAGTGGGTTTCACCTGTTTACCTCTGCACAATTATATATCTTCAAAAGAAAACCCATGATACGTCAACATATAACAGGCATATTTAGACTATATTTGGTTAAATAGGAATGTATTTACCTTCTGTCTTAGTGGCTGGTAAGTTTAAATGCAAACATTTTCAAAGTGGAAAAAAGTCCTAATTGCACATTGATCAGAGCCAGTGATGCTTCAAACATTGCTAAACAGCATCTAGTGAGTGTAGAGCTTATAAGATTTGTATTAATCTAGGAAGAAATTATGCTGTTCTCTTTAAACACATCAAAGCCTGATGCTCACATTAAGCATAAAAAAAGAGTATGCATATTTTTGCAAAGGACCAATGACATTAGACCAATGAAACTGAAGACCAATAGTGTCCCTAACAAAGCTGAAATCAAACCTATGCCTTTGATATTCTCTCTTGCCTCTAACCAAGAATATAATCCATATATGTAGCCCACTTCTCTGTTGTTTTTGATCCATCGCCATTCATTCTGTCATGTATCAACTTTTTACATTGTGCTAATAAAATGACAATAAAGGGGCCACTTGTCCTCCAGAAAATGTGTCGGTCTGACTTGTTTTCTGTATGTTTCCTGCATATCACTAACCTTTTCCCAAGCTCATAATGCTTTCTGCAGCCACGGAACAACTGCTGTTAAAATTAAATGTAACATCTAAGTAACGTAGTACCGGTTTTCTGGATACACCCCCAATGGAAGGTGCTGCACCCATACCTTGTCTCCTACTCCACAATGAAAATGTAATTAGACTCTCCCCAGGCTCACACCGACTCCGGTCTTACCGTTGCGGTGCGGTGGGTGCGGCGCCGCAGTGATTCCAAGTCATTAAAAAGACGTAAACCTCTCTCACCGGCTTCTGAGCTGTCCGGCTGCAGTTACCGAGACACTCCGGCGCTGCAGAAAATTCCGCAAGAAAGCTATCCTTGCGGCGTGCCGGAGAACCTCCGCAACAAGCTCTCGCAAATATCCTTATTTGGGCCGTGTTATCGCGTGAAGTTACGTGAACTCAAGTGAACTCAAGTGAACTTCTGTTAAATCTCCGCACCTGTTGCCGGAGCCGCAGAGCCGCACTGCACCGTAGTCAAAAGGGCGGTGTGAGAGGGGGTGTGCGGGAGTTGCGGTCTCTGTCGGCTCGGTAACCGCACCGGAGCCAGTGTGAGCAAGGGGTCTTGCACATTTGGATCTTGTTCTAGTACACATAAGTAAAGGTATTGACTAGTGGTCAAAGGTAGTGGGAAATAGATAACAGTTCATAATAAATAAAAAAGATGAAAGAATCCAGTATCCATTTCTCTCTTGAAAAAGAGACACACCTTGCCTATATTGTTCCCCAGCTTTGGTGCAAACACCTGTTTGCTGCTCTGCCAGTAGCCTACTCGTTATATGGCGCCATCTGCAGACTGAAAGAACATTTATGTGACGTGGTTAATACATATATATATATATATATATATATATATATATATATATATAGGAGACAGAGAACATGAGCTATGGGGATCATCAAACCTCCACTGGCTCAACTAAGCAAGTTTTTTCTCATTGCACTAATAACACTTTTAATAAGAAATTTTCCTGTTCATTTAATTTTAACAGCAGTTGCTCCATGGCTGTAGAAAGCATTATGGGAAAAGGTTGGTGATATGCAGGAAAATATACAGAAAACAAGTCAGACCGACAAATTTTCTGGAAGACAAGTGTCCCCTTTATTGTCATTTTATTAGCACAATATAAAAAGTTTTTACATGACAGAATGCATGGCGATGGATCAAAAACAGTGAAGTAGGCTACATTTATGATTATATTCTCAGAAATACCTGTAAATACAAAACATTAGTTGGCGATGCATGTTGATGCAAAACGTTTTTACATGAAAATAGGCATGGAATGGATTCAAAATAACAGCAAAGTGTAAGTAGTGGATATATTCCTAACATTAAGGCTTTGTGAAACGGCAATGCAGTGAATTTTGTCAATGCTGCAACATTGAGCTCTGTGCAGTTTTCCACAAAGCAGATCTGTGCTGAACTTTCTTGGTCTGGCTGCCTTGATCAGCGATTGGATGCAACCAGTTCAAATGCATTGGCTGTGGGAAAAGAAGGAAGGACATCATTATCATATTAGGAAAACGTGCGTTAAATACCCGTGTTCTGACCGACACAACGCGCGTATTTAACGCGCGTCTTGCGGTACTATCATGACGCGCGTAAAAGGCGGCGCTTGTTGGTAAAAGACGGCGTAAAAAGCGGCGTAATCTCAGGAGAACGCGCGTTTTTTGCGGGTTAACTTCAATCTTAACGCGACAATTCAATGCGAAATGTGACCTTCTTGGCTTGCCATACTACAAGACCTTTTTTCCCTTAGAGACGACTTTACAGAGGGACCGAGGTGCCTGGAGACCCTGATGGAGGACCATCTCAGCCATCCTTCCATCCTTCAGCAGGAGGAGGTGTGGCTCAAAGTCATCAAAGAAAGTGATCAAAGCTAATCTGAGCTCATCTGGAAGGAACCAGGAAAAGCTTCAACAAAACAAATCAGAATAAAGGGGCAGAATAATCCCCTCTGATTGGTTAATTAACCCATCAGTCGTCCACCTGATGTGTTGAGGACCAGCTGCTCTGCAGACCACCCATTGAACCTCGTTCAAAATGTCGCCTGTATGAGGGACCAACATCAACAGAAAGATGAAGACGCCCACCTGAAGATGATGACATCAGCTTTGGCTTTTTGATTTTTTAATCATACAACATGAATGAGAAGGGAAATGTGTTGTATTTTAATGAAAGGTGAACATTTTTAGTTTCTAAGTGTTTGATATTACTTTTCTTGATAATAAAATAAATTCCAAGTGTTAGATGAGCAGCTGATGGCTGATGGTCAGTATTGGCAGAGATTTCTGGATTAGAGAATGAACTCTGATGATCGGGTCATCTCAGCTACCATTGGGAAAGAGGAGCGCTGAGATTAAATCCTCCAACTTTTCAATGTGTGCTTTGACTGAGCCTGATTCTGAAGAGCTGAACTCGTCATCTGCGTGAAACATCTTTGTGTTATGATTTTAACATTTTGCATAGAGATTTATCTTTTTTTTACTTTTAATTAAATTCAGATTAATAATTTGACTTACAGTTTGTAGACATGAAGGGGTCTATTGTTTTGACTGATTTGAACTTTTCTCTTTCCAGGGAAACAAAAAGGGTAACTGATAATGATAAGAATTAAACATTTAAATTCTCAACAAATAGATATTTTACCATAAAAGTATCATCATGGGGAAAAACAGAAAACATTTTTGCCGATATTGTGATTCTAGGGCTCTATTTATTGGCAACATATTTTAGCTATCATAATCTTTTCCATAATTTTTCCATCTATTATAATCATTTAATTTGTCCACCGACTTAATGCAGTTGTGCATTTTTGATATATATGTTTCATTATTATTTTTAATTTTAGTTTCTTATTTGAACCTTTCTTTACATATACAAAATTTTTTTATTTTTAGTTTTCTTTATATATATATTTACAGTTTTAGTTAGTTTTAGTTGTTTATATTCATTATTTTCCCATTTCTAATATCGATTACAAAAGGATAATATCCTTCTATAATCGAAAGGGTGGACTGCTGTTAGAAAATTTAGATTTCTCTTTTAATTATATATTAATTTATCCTGTTTACTCACTATCAAATTTTTCACTCAGTCTGGTAAGTTATTCTACTTTAATCATATTATACTTACACATATTGTATCCCTATCTTACTTATATTACAAAGAGTGTTGAAACATTTAACTTTGTTTGCTGTGTTACTAATGTTTTGCTGTAAGTCTGTGCAGAAGGATGCTGACGGCTGCGGTCAAGGCTGTGGAACACGGAGAGCTGCATAACCAGATAAGGAGAGGAATTCTCCTTATCTCATGTTGTTGTACAGAAGTTTCTGTGAACAGGTTTCATCTGGGTTTCCCCCCTCCCTTTAGCAGATTGAAACCACATTGTAACCAGGGCATCCCTGATCTAAATAAATAGCCTGGAGAACAGAGACTGCTTCAGAGTGGTTTGGAGGATTGTAACTGAGCAGTCTCTGATCACTCTCCTTGCAAGTAAATCATACTCAATTCTCTGTCTTTCTTTGTGCAGGTTGCTGAATAAGGTGTTTGGTGTTTAAACCTAATATCTAATTACCTGCAATTCCTTAACCATTAAAGAAATGTTTAAATTATTATTTTTAGATTTATTTATTGATTTTTATTTTTTTGCTGAACTATCAAGGTTTTACCGCGCCTTTTGCCCAGAGACTGCGGGAGAAAGGCAACAGCTCCACTGTAACCCTATAGATAAGCCCCAAATGAGGGTATGACCACACATTTATCACAGGAGGCCAAAATAAAAGGGATGCTAACTCCAGAAAGCCAGAGCTGCATCCCATTCTGGTCTGATCCACATCTTTATCTAGCATTCTGTATTTGCTGACCTCAGTGCAGAGCTAGACTGTAAACCTTCTCTAACTCCAACTCCTTAGACAAAATAATTAGAAAAATATTTAAAAGGATGGTAAGAATACATAATGCACCTCTTCTTATGACACAATGTGGGTAATGCAAAACATCTCTAGTGCATGAATTATGAAAGACTTGATCAAGATTTTATTCTCAATGGTTTTTATTCTTCTTAAGACTTGAAAAAAAAATGTAAATCATTTCATGAAGTTACAGATATGTCCAATGGAGTGGACTATGCGCACCTGAGAACTCAATATAAAATTTGAATTTATAAAAAAATAATGATCTAGTATTCTGTTATAAAAACACAAATCATTGTTTTATTTTATGCTTTGAAAAATATTCCAACATATTTTAATATTTTACACTTTATAGGCGCAATGTTTAGAACTGAATATGAAAAACCAATGACACTCATAGCTGACTGAAGTGACTGAAAATCCTCAGGATGTACTGCTGCCTTAAACGTCTTCTGAAGTGTACTTAGGAAGGGTCTTATTATGGAGAGCCTATCTGTGTTAGCTGGGCGGTAAGCAAAGCTATTCACAAAGTGGAGGTGTCTAAGGATTTGCTCATCCCTGTTTACAGACATGGTCGTAGTCCATCATCACTTGACAAGTACATTCCTGCCCTTCAATGGCGAATGTACCCCATGATCAAGTCGATCCCTAAAAATATCTGCATTTCATCTCCTGTCAGATTTCCTTTCCCTTTCTGGAGAGCATACAAGTTGGTGTTTTTCACTGTCATCAATGAGATGAGCTGGAACAGGTATCTGAAACAATCCATAGGATCTCTTTCCCCCACATTCAGTTTACACTCTCCTAGAAAAGGAGGCAAGTCTCTGGCAAAGTCATTGTTTTGGATTTTCACGACATATTAATGGGCTTCAGTACAATCAGGTGCCCTGTACCCATCATCCTCAGCGTCCTGATCATGCTGACCTTCCTCTGTTTCCTGGCCCTCATCACCCTCACTTTCCTTTTGGCTATCTTATTCTTCACTGTGTTTGAAGTCTACAATAGAAATAATTGGTATAGTCATTACAAAAAAGGTAAAAAAGTTGAAAAAAAACAAATCAATTCACTGGACTTCCCATCCAGGAAGCTTTTTCAATTCAAAACAGTCACACAAACTACAGCTAATCTGCAGAAAGTATACACAAAATACACTTAAAAGTAAATTTTAAATGAATAGCTTATATGTGTAACGTTAAAACACTGAATTATAAGCAAAACTATTAAAAAACACAGTAAACAACTATATGACTTATGTTGAAAAATGTAATACCTGATGCATGACGTTCACTTCATTGGATGGTTAATCATAATTTTCTACATATTAAACAAAAAAATTCTATTTCAAACTGACAATATCCTTGATTAAATGTTGCTGTAAATCATTATATTTTTTTTACCTGTTGGGCTCTACTACAATAGAAGGATTGAGAGAATATGCCAGCAGTGGTCGACAGGGGTTGCCGTTTGTTGGCCATCTTGGATGAAATTTCTCAGATGAAATTTACTTGCAGTTTGTTGGAATAATTATGTATAAGATACTTAATGTTTGTTCTTATGATGTATAATATGTGACATATTACTGTTCCAGAGAGGTGATGCACAAGCAGTATAGGGTCAACTCTCAGGAAGTATTGCTCAAGCTTAACGAAACTAAGAGGTTCTCGGATCATTTGACCGCAAGACATTTAAATGCAAATTGACCTGTTCACTGAGGCTGCAAATTGAATTGTATTTCTTGTTTCCTATTCCTTTAGCGCAACCTCAGCTTGTGTAACTAGGGCCCCCCCTCTGACTTTAATAAATAGCGAGGAGAAAGCTGAAGACTGGCAGAGTGGGTTGGAGATTTGTAAACTCTGCAGTCTCTTCCTACTCTCCTCGCGAGTAAAACTAAATTAATTGTCTCTGTGCCTTCTTTCTTTCCCTGTATGTATGTATGATGTTTTAGGTGCTTAGACTGACACAGTTACAATGACTAATATGTAGTTTCACTATAGAAAGCATAGAATTAGAGATATTTACTTTTTAGTAGCTGCCCACTACAGTGACCGCTATTCACCAGAGGGTTTTAAGAAAAACAGGGTTAACATAGATGACATCTTTCCATCACATTGTTCTCCAGAAGAAATGTTGACTTTAATGGCAACACACAAGTTCAATCCTTTCCCTCCCCTGTTTATTTCTACTTCACTTCGAAACCTAGAGTAAAAACTAATCTAAACTACATTCCTGTGACCAATGTTTTGTTATTCTCATGACAAAGATTCAGGCAGATCAAGCTCCTCCTATTTGATGATTCAGTCTGTGGTGAAGCCTCTGTGCATCACTGTGATACATCTTAAGTCTAAAACATTTAGATATGATACAGAATGACAATAGAATAATGATAAAGCCAAATATTCATTTTTTGAACAATTTGAAATACAGAGACGTGTATGACAACATCATGTCAACCAGAGGCAGAAGGTTGAAATATGTTTACGCCTGTTTTAGCTAGACTACCCTCCATCTCTTTTAGAAAAATTAGCAAAAGGACGTGAATTTTGCCTTTATGGATGAGAAAGATGTTTGTGTTTTCCTCTCAAAAGGATCTGGTGAGAATTTGATTTATCAGTTAACACCATGAAACAAATCAAGAATCTGATATGTTTCAGCCAGGTACCCAATCAGCTTGAAGAATTGTAATGAATGACCCTAACTTTTACTAACATCTTTATGGCGTTACATTTATTATCTCGCAGGATCTCCCTGCGCGCACAATTTTCTATCCAGCGGCCACGCTCGAAGACGGCTGCCCTCTTGAAAGCGTCTCTGCGCTCGGACAGATTTTCTCCTCGCACGGAGGAAAAGTGGTTTGACAGGTTGGGAGGAGACAACTGTAAGCCTCCTCCTGATTGGTCCTTGCAGACACGATCTCACAGGAAGTAGTGTCAGGAAGCATTTGACTGACAGCTCGTCAGTTAAGACGACGGCTCGAGGCGACTTCGGTAAAGTTAGAAAGATATTCACAGATTCGGACTTCCGGGATCAATAACTCTCGTTGTTGAAACACAAATAACGCATCTTTCATGTCCTGATAGCACAGACTATGAACTACAAGAATCAAAAAGCGTTATTTTTGAGAAAAACGAGCCGTTCTCCGAGCTGGATGTATTACATTGATCTCTATGCACAGGCAGCGGCCAGGCGAGTGGTTAGGGACCGTCTCTTGGTGATCGCACTACAACAGCTGCTTTTGAAAAAATACACTTTAAAAAAAAAATGTGATTATACAGTGCAGACTCTCCAAAATCACCACACACACCAAGGGACTCCAAATGAACATACTACAATAGCTGTTTTTGAAAAAGACACCTTTAGCAATTTTTTAGAATTTTTTAATTGTTATTAACCATTAATATCATCCTATTTTACTCAATAGCTCTGTGATTATACAGTGCAGACTCCAAAATCATCACACACACCAGGTTGATGATTTTGTTGATGGGGTTGCTAGTTCTCTGCATACTGCCTTAGACAACACAGCTCCTTTGAAAATGAAAACCGAAAAGCTTGCTCCTTGGTTTAATGCAGAGCTGCGCACTTTGAAGCCAAATGCTAGAAAACTGGAGAGAAAATATCGCTCCACAGGCCTACGGGAATCCTACCTAGTCACTAGTAACTTTCTTTGTTGATAAAGTTTATAGTTAGAGTGGCTCAGGTTATCCTGAGCTATCTCTATAGTTATGCTGCTATAGGCTTAGACTGCTGGAGGACATAGGGACCCCCTTTTTCATCATTCTACTTCATTCTATCTCTATTCTCCCACTCTGCAAAATCTGTTAGTTCAATCTCTAACGTTCTGCTCTCTCTGCTTTTTCTCATAGTAGCTTCATCTGGTCTGTTCCTGTTTGGCTGTGACTCAATCCTGGAGAGAAATATCAGCTGTGCTGCTGCCATCAACACCTTTGTTTCTAGATGTTGGAGCTTGGCCTGTTTTCCAGTGTGGTCCTGTTTCTCTGACTGTGACTAACTGGATGTGCTCTCTTCATCCTCTGACAGGGGAGCTGGCTCGGAGCTCGTCTGCCTGGCTGTGGGTTTCCTGGACGGGGCCGCCTTTTACAGCTGCTTTTTGTGTCTCTGCTTCCGTCTCCTTGAACCCCAGTCGGCCTCAGCAGATGGCCGCTCACACTGAGCCTGGTTCTGCTGGAGATTTCTTCCTGTTAAAAGGGAGTTTTTCTCTCTGCTGTCGCTACATGCATGCTTGGTGTGAGGGATTGCTGTTGAGTCAATGAGTCAATGCATTCAGCTGGTTTTCTTTAGATAGAAAAATTTTGACCAATCTTACTGTATGATTTGATTTAGTTTGTAAAGTGCCCTGAGATGAAATGTGTTTTGAATTGGCGTTATATAAATAAACTGAATTGAAAGTACGATAGTTAGGTACTTCATCCACCACTGATCATCTTGATATGTTTCTCTGTAGCAATCTTTCAATGCAATTTTTGCGGTATTGTTTCAGCTGTTCGTTTTACGTGGGAATGGTGAACCCGTAGCATTCAATAAAAAAAAAACACAGAGTCATATTTACACAAAAGCTTTAGTGTACAGACAGGTAGAGACATCATGCTTAAAACTTCAATGTATTTCATAAAGAACTCCCATCTGCCTAGCATCTCTGTGTACTTCATTCACAAAAAGGTGTATTTTTTCAAAAGCAGCTGTTGTAGTGTGATCACCAAGAGTCCCTAATGGTTAATAACAATAAAAAATTCTACAAAAATAGCTAAAGGTGTCTTTTTCAAAAACAGCTATTGTAGTATGTTCATCTGGAGTCCCTTGGTGTGTTTGGTGATTTTGGAGTCTCTGCACTTTATGGCAGTGGAGTTATTGATTTTTATTTGCAACGTTTTTCTGTTGTTTTACCATTTGCAGACGGTCCCTAACCACTCGCCTGGCCGCTGCCTGTGCATAGAGATCAATGTAATGCATCCAGCTCGGAGAACGGCTCGTTTTTCTCGAAAATAACGCTTTTTGATTCTTGTAGTTCATAGTCTGTGCTATCAGGACATGAAAGATGCGCCATTTGTGTTTCAACAACGAGAGTTATTGATCCCGGAAGTCCGAATCTGTGAATATCTTTCTAACTTTACCGAAGTCGCCTCGAGCCATCGTCTTAACTGACGAGCTGTCAGTCAAATGCTTCCTGACACTACTTCCTGTGAGATCGTGTCTGCAATGCCCAATCAGGAGGAGGCTTACAGTTGTCTCCGCCCAACCTGTCAAAACCACTTTCGCTCCGTGCGAGGAGAAAATCTGTCCGAGCGCAGAGACGCTTTCAAGAGGGCAGCCGTCTTCGAGTTGGAGATAGATTTTAAAGAAGAACACATTAACCAGAAAAGAGGAGGAATATTCTTTAGCCTTTTGCTGAACCGGTGTTTCGAGAAGAAGAGCCTGCCGGCTGAGAATCTCCTAAACTATTGTGGTCAAGGCTCTTGCACATTGATGATCAAGTGTCATGAATTTAACATGGTTTCAATAAATAGGGCTGTGAAAACAATCCTTTATTAATCAAAATGAAGGATAGAGGAAATTATGACAAAGGATGATGCAGGAATGCTTTTAAGTTGTTTGTAGGTGGCTTTGAATTCTGATGTCTTTCAAGTCTAGATTTCTTTATAAACATTTTTCCACAGGACAGACATTCATCAATCTTCTTACCTGAGTGAGTTCTCATGTGATCCAGAACAAGCTGCTCTTCCTGCTCACCTATGGGGAGCTCCATGGTTTCCTCTTTTGTCCAGGGATGTTCTGGTTCTTTCTGCTCTTCTTTTATCTGCAGAGGTTCTGGTTCCTCTTGGTCCAAACTGGAATTCCTCTCCTGTTTACAGAGCTGCTGGTCAGAGAAATCCTCCTCTTTTCCAACATAATCCTGAAGGCGGTCTGAAAGACAAACACAGCAGACAGACATTTTATTTCCCTCAGCAGCGCTTCCTGTACACCTCTGCCTGGAAGAGACAGACCCCAGCTGAATGTGTCAGAGGCTCCGCAGATTTTAAATGCTTTTCTAATAAAATTCTCTCTTCTATCATAAAAGAAGCATTATGGTAAGAAAGAGAAATATAGGCCTAAGTGATAAAGCCGTCTGCAACAGCTTCCTCATTTTTGCTATAAATGTAGCAGTTTTTTTCCTGTAAAAAGACTTTGAACTATAAAATGCAGTGAGTACAGTTATAAAAAAATCATGTTGCTGGAAGAATTCAGTTTTTGATAAATCTAGACTTTACTGGAGGCAGGAAGGCCTGCAAGGCCTGGACGATGAGGTGATCACCTTCAGTCCCTCACATGGAAATGCATGATCCCTTTCTGGACATCTTAAAAGTGTCATATAATGATTACATAGGTCTCTGAATAGCCATATGTGCTGTTCTATGAGCCCTAATGCAAGCCTGATTATAAGCCACAGAATGAAACGACAGGATTTCTTCCTTTTATTGTATGATCATGAATATTGTGCGCTAACTGGTTGGTTTACAATCGACCGAAGCTGCTGAGCAAAGACGCATCGTAGCAACAAGCACTCACTCACTGAAACATCTAAATTGTTGATATGGTAGGGTGACCAGACGTCCTCTTTTTCCCGGACAATATCCTACTTTTCATACCTAAAAAATGTTCGGGGGAAATTTCAAAATCGTCCAGGATTTTGGTCAACTGCAGTGCAGCAGGTAGTAGAAACAGGGAGCCAGCGGGGGAAGGAGTGACCGAACCCGACCCGGTGACGGTAGCCTGGACAACGGCGGCCCAGTGCTTCCTCCCGCCCTTACCAGGCAGGCGGGGAGAAACAAGGTAAGGTCATTCTGGTGGGGGGAAGCATACCATCACTGGGTCGGGTTCTGTCGCTCCGTCCCCCACTGGGGCCCGGGCCAGTCAGCGGATTCAAACGAAGCACCCAATTGACATCAATAAAGGAGGGGTCAGATTGTTAAACCATGTTAATATTGAGACTAGGGCTGCAACTAACGATTATTTTAAAAGTCGATGAATCGACCGATTATTTTTTCGATTAATCGATGAATCGGAAACAAAAAAAAAATTTATATTAACCTCTTTATTCCAAAATAAACATTTTAGACAGAACAAACAAGCACACAAGTACAGGTTGCTCATTAACTGTACTGGTGCAATATGAAAAATAAATGTTTGTGTTAAAACTACGCAAACTTACATGAGAAATGTAGCTGTCCATCCACAAAATATAGGCTACTTTGTTTCATAAAGTGCAAGAAAGACATTTTTGTTTTGTAAAGCCCCTAAGGGGTTCAAACAATAGGCCCCCCCATTTCAACAAATGAGGTTTTTTTAAGACAGGAAAGTATAGCAGTTAAAGTTGCTACTAGGGCTGCAACAACGAATCGATAAAATCGATAAAAATCGACTTTTAAAAGCGTTGGCAACGAATTTAATCATCGATTAGTTGTGTCGCGCGATTAATGCGTCATCCGCCGCCGCCGTCATCCGGGGGAAGAAAAAAAAATATGACGGAGCGAGTCAGCGCCGCAGTTGCAGTGTTGCCAACTCAGCGACTTTTCAGACCCCTCCAGCGACTATTTTTCAAAAAAGCGACTGGCGACAAATCTGGCGACTTTTTACGGTGTCACTGGCGGCTTTTGCCTGCCGTGGGGTGCCTCCCCCATCCCAACCCCTTTCTCCCTCTCCCACAGGAATCCCTCTCAGCGCGGCAGTCAGAGCCGCAGGATTTTAGTGAGGAGTTTACCCTCAGCGTCCAGACTGCAAATGAAGCGCGCATGCGCCGGGATTGACGGCGCAAATTGATCACAATAATTAAAATAGCCTGGGCTTTGTAAAGTGAAAAAAGTCGTAACATGCAACTTTTGTAAAAAACAAATTAACATGGCACGGAAGCACCACTGTTATGACGCAGCACCTGAAAAGAAAACACGTTGGAGCCTTCAATGGCAGTGAAGAGAGCTGATCAGCAGGATGAGTAACCATGTTTGTTTCATTTTAAAGAGGGGAAACGTAACGTTAGTTTCTCAGTTCGCTCATCTGATGCTTTCCTTACCTTGTTAGTAGGTTACAGACAGTGATAAGGTTGGCTACTTATTTTACTTTTAATTTCATTTGAATTAGCTTAAGCAGCGTTTATATTTTCTTTATAAATAAATTAACTTGCAAATTATGAGGGCAAGGCTTTTAAAGTTTAAATCTTCTGGCAAAGATAAAGAAAAGAAGATCCTGCAATTTATGGAAGTAAAGCAGAACAAAATCCAGCAAGATCAGTAATATGTCAATTAATTATCTGCCACATTCCCATGTAAATATCTGTCTTTGGAGGATGTGTTTTTTAGCACCCCTAGTTCTCTCATTTTTATTCCAAATACAATTTATAATTAGAATCACAGGGCTATTTTTATCTCTATGGTTCAGTATTTTCTCAAGTAGCAACTTTAACTGCTATACTTTCCTGTCTTAAAAGGCAGAACTCTTCTAGTCTAAAAAAAACTCATTTGTTGAAATGGGGGGGCCTATTGTTTGAACCCCTTAGAGGCTTTAAAAACAAAAATGCCTGTCTCTTTTTGCGCTTTATGAAACAAAGTAGCCTATATTTTGTGGATGTACAGCTACATTTCTCATGTAAGTTTGCGTAGTTTTTACACAAACATTTATTTTTCATATTGCACCAGTACAGTTAATGAGCAACCTGTACTTGTGTGCTTGTTTGTTCTGTCTAAAATGTTTATTTTGGAATAAAGAAGTTAATATAAAATTTTTTTTTTGTCCGATTCATCGATTAATCGAAAAAATAATCGGCCGATTCATCGATTTTTAAAATAATCGTTAGTTGCAGCCCTAGTTGCTACTTGAGAAAATACTGAACCATAGAAATAAAAATAGCCCTGTGATTCAAATTATAAATTGTATTTGGAATAAAAACGAGAGAACTAGGGGTGCTAAAAAACACATCCTCCAAAGACAGATATTTACATGGGAATGTGGCAGATAATTAATTGACATATTACTGATCTTGCTGGATTTTATTCTGCTTTACTTCCATAAATTGCAGGATCTTCTTTACTTTATCTTTGCCAGAAGATTTAAACTTTAAAAGCCTTGCCCTCATAATTTACAAGTTAATTTATTTATAAAGAAAATATAAACGCTGCTTAAGCTACTTCAAATGAAATTAAAAGTAAAATAAGTAGCCAACCTTATCACTGTCTGTAACCTACTAACACGGTAAGGAAAGCATCAGATGAGCTACCTGAGAAACTAACGTTACGTTTCCCCACTTTAAAACCAAACAAACATGGTGCTTCCGTGTCATGTTCATTTGTTGACAAAAGTTGCATGTTACGACTTTTTTCGCTTTACAAAGCGCAGGCTATTTTAATTATTGTGATCAATTTGCGCCGTCAATCCCGGCGCATGCGCGCTTCATTTGCAGTCTGGACGCTGAGGGTAAACATCCTGCGGCTCTGACTGCAGCGCTGAGAGGGACTCCTGCGGGAGCAGGGGGAGGCGCCCCACGGCAGCAGCTGCCGCTGGAGGACCAGAGTAGGAACGATACATGCTTTCAAGTAAGAATCTCCAAAAGCCGCCAGTGACACCGTAAAAAGTCGCCAGATTTGTCGCTAGTCACTTTTTTTGAAAAAAAGTCGCTGGAGGGGTCTGAAAAGTCGCTAAATATAGCGACAAAGTCGCTGAGTTGGCAACACTGCACCTGCAGCGCTCGCTCTGCCGTATTTCTTTTTCTTCCCCCGTTTCAGTCAAGTGGATGTGATGACGAGGGCGGCGGATGACGCATTAATCACGCGACACAACTAATCGATGATGAAATTAGTTGCCAACGCTTTTAAAAGTCGATTTTTATCGGTTTGTTGTTGCAGCCCTAATTTTTTCTTTACAGCTCTTTGCTTAAAAAATACAATTGGACTTTTTTTAAACTCTGTCAATTATTCTATAATTTTCCTGAACTTTCTAAGGTCCACATAGTGTGAGCACTGTTGCTGTAATCTGTTGCTGCTGTAACTCCACTATTTCCCTAGCCTGACGTAGTCCGACTCAATTCTAGTCAGAATATAAGTCTGATGCTGCTCCATAGAGCTGTGATTATGGGGCGTGTTTCGAAAGAACCAGGAAAAAAATGCCTCTGCACGCAATTGGATAGACCTACAACCAATAAGAGCAACGGAGTGCGTGACGTATGTTAAGCCACGCATAGTTGTTGTCCACAAAAATCAAAGCGTGCAGTTTCATGCCTAGAATAAGAAGATGAGCCTTGATCGCGTTTCTCTGTTCCTCTTTTAAAATTAATTTGCTGTCGATATCTTCTAGAACAGACCTAATAGCAGAATCTACTCACCTCAACTCTTCAGCGGCAGCCATTGTTGTTGTCACCCAAGCGCGTTTTGGTCACGTGGTTGATTACGTTACTGTTGATCATCTGTCCATCATCGTATAAAGCCCGCCCTGACAATTTGATTGGAATGGCACCCAGGCCACTATTTCCCCACAGTGGGCCAGCAAAGGGAGCTTCTATTCTATGTAGTGTATATCTGCTGTTTATTTAGTAATGTCTTCCAAAGCTCTGATGCCTTCATGAAGTTCTCCCTCCAGCCCTGATGTCAACAGTCTGTTGATTTAAACTAAACTCCGCTGCAGTGCTGAGGCATCCTTCTACTGTTCTGCTTTAAAGGAATAGTACACCCAAAACATGATTAGCCTTCATTTTCTACTCACCCCCATGCTGAACAACACTCT